TCCCTGACAAACAACACAAGCACGAGTTCATCAGATAATTCCTCTTTGTTCAGTCATCTAAAGCTAAAATGATCTGTTCTCCTACTCAGTGTGAGGAAATCTGCTGTCATACATTTGTGAATGTTTTTAAGCCAATTTGATCATCACCAAATGCATTATCATCAAGCCCAGGAAGATGTTTCACAAATAAATCAAAAATGATACATTTTGTCAAATCTTCTTTCTCTATTTCATTACTTCTTGTCCAAAAACATGTCCTTTGTCTTTCAGTGGAGAGAGAGAGCATCACCCTGTCGGAGGTCAGACTTGTCCTGATTGGTGAAAGATGGGCTGGCAAGAGCTCCTCTGGCAACACCATACTGAGAAATGACAGGTTTGAGTGTGGCCGAACCAGAACTGCTCAGTCTGAAATGAGGCATGAAGTGGTCGAGGGCAGGGAGCTCATCGTGGTCGATGTTCCAGGATGGAGCAGCTCCCTCTCCCTCTCTGAGATCCCAGAGGGGGACAAGCAACGATTTAAACTCAACGCATCCAAATGTCCGCCCGGACCAAATACTTTTCTCCTTGTTATTCCCATTGACACTGCTGTTTCTGCGATGACGAAGAAGACCGTGGAGGAGCACATGAAGCTACTGGGAGAGCGGGTTTGGAAACACACCATGGTGCTGTTCACCTGTGGGAATTACCTGGGGGGGAAGACCATAGAGCAGCACATAGAGAGTGAAGGAGAGTCACTCATGTGGTTAATAGAAAGATGCAAGAACAGGTACCATGTGTTTGAGAACAAGGATAAGAGTTTATCTCAGGTGACACGGCTGCTGGAGAAGGTAGATGAGATGGTGTGGCAAAACAAAGGCAGGTTCTACGAGGTAGACGAGCAGACCTTACACATCATTGAAAAGAAACATCGAGAAGTGGCTGAAAGGGCAAAACAGAGAGCGAGGCGGTCCGAAGAACAAAGACAACAGATGAAAGCACTCATTGCAGGTTAATATCACTGTTTGTCCACTCGAACAAATACTTTCTGTATTTAATTTTCCTGTATTTGCCTAATTTTATCAATTCATATGTAATCAATGTATTGATGGATTTTGTTAATACATATGTTAATACTCTGACCGTTTTTTAAGTAGCTGTGAAAGTTCAATAATCTTTGTTTTTCTCAAACAGAAGAGATGAAAACCATCCCTAAACTCCGGATGGTTCTCTTGGGAAGCCGAGGCGTTGGGAAAACCTCAGTAGGGAACACCATTTTGGGAATCAAAGAGCAAGAAGATGGAAAAAGAACGGCACACTCGGTGGGCCGACAGGGTTTTGTGGGTGAAACTGAAATAGCCCTTGTTGACACTCCAGGTTGGTGGAAAGGCTTCCCTGAGTGTGACACCCCTGAAGCGATCAAAGAAGAAGTGATACGCAGCCCGTCCCTGTGCCTCCCTGGGCCTCAGGTCTTCCTGCTGGTGATAGACGCAGATGCATCCTTCAATGGAAAACACTTAGATGCCGTGAAATCACACATGGAGCTCCTCGGAGAAGAAGTGTGGAGACACACTATTGTAGTTTTCACCAGAGGAGACTGGCTGGGAACACACACCATAGAAGAGTATATCGAAGGGGAGGGAGAGGCGTTGCAGTCGCTGGTTGAACAATGTGGAAACAGATATCATGTCATTGATAACAAGAATGCAGATGATGGTACCCAAATCACAGAGCTCCTGAATAAAATCACTGAGACCTTGGCTGGAAATGGTTGTGACCATTTTGTCCCAGATGAGAAGATATTTGATGCCATTGAAGAGAAGAGAATGAAAGTGAAAGAAGGAGCAAAACTGAGGCAAAGTCAAGTTAAGGCCCAAAGAAGATTGTGCAAAGGTAAGGTTCACTGTCAGAGAAGTTTCCAGACTCAGAGAGTGAGTAGAAATCAGGGGTGGACACAATTACAGAGATCCAAATAATGAGGCATTGTTGTTAGCATGTTAGTATGCTGGCCTTAGCATTCAGGTCACTGCTGGGAGCACCTTTAGCTCAAAAATGTGCTGTAGTGTGATGGACTCCAAGTCATCATTTCTAAATGTTGCCACATTACTGTTTACTGCAGGGCTACTGATTTCTGATACAGGAACAAATCTGTTGATTAGTCTTGTGTGCATGTGGTTTTTAGCCTGCATTTCTTTTCTTCTCAGAATCCAGTAAAGAATTACATGCGCTGACTTTTCTGATGCTGGGTCAGAAGACATTTGGAAAGAGTGCAACAGGAAATACCCTCCTGCGTAGAGAAGTGTTTCCCACCTGTCAGAATGAGTTCTGTCAGGTGGAGCAAGGGGAAGTTGATGCCAGAGCGGTCACAGTGGTCGACACCCCGGGGTGGTGGAAGGATCCCTCCAAATCCACAGAAGAGATGGACAAAGAAATAGTCCGAGGTCTGACTCTGAGCCCATCACCATCAGGCTTTCATGCTGTTCTGCTGGTTGTCCCTTTGGACCTGACGTTCAGAGAAGCTCAGCGGGCCGCCCTGGAGGAACACATGAAGCTCCTTGATGTCAGCGTCTGGAAACACACCATGGTGCTGTTCACATACGGAGACAAACTAGCAGATCAATCCATTGAGGAGCACATTGAGAGCGAGCACGAGGCGCTACGCTGGTTAATAGACAAGTGTGAGAACAGATACCACGTTGTGAACAACTTGAAGAAAAGTGATATGAGCCAAGTTACTCAGCTGTTTGAGAAGGTAGAGGAGATGGTGGCAGGGAACAGTCGACAGCTCTTCTGTCCTGAGATGAGCGAAATCTACTTAAACATAGATGACAAATTCAAGAGGATGCAGCTCAAAAATGTGCTGAAGCAGCGACTGGCTGAGGAGTACAAGAGGAGAGAGCTGGAGATGATGACAAGCTTCAAGAAAACACTCCTCGAGCTGCAAGCTCAGATCGGAGACAGTGCAACAGGCACTAAATCTAAGTCGCTGAGTGAGTATCACGCTACGATTGGGGATGATCAATATTTTTTCATAGTGTGAATATATTGTTGTTTAACCTTTTGTTTTGATGATAATTCCTAGTTGGTGACAGGACCAAACTCAAAGTCAAGGGTATTGGTCAGAAGAAGAAAGATGGAAAGGACAAGGAGGAAAACATAAACTCAAAGATCAGCCAGGAAATTGAAAGGCTGAATAACGACATAAAAAATAAATCTTCAGATCTTCGCCTGAGCAGCCTCGACTACCTGTTCCCAACCTGTAAGTCCAAAAAGGAGATCTTTATTTTTTAGCATTCAAAGTAGCACTGAGCAAGACTTCACAGTCAAATTGTGTTTTGTTTAATTTACAGTTAAAGGAGAGTCTACGACAGACAGGAAAACGTCCTCCAGCCAATTTGAGGACGTCCTAGGTTGGCTGGCATCAGTTGAGATTGGCACAAATGAGGAGAACCAGTTGACCCTCAACTTCTCTCAGACGTCCGGATACAGATCTGTGGTGCCGCACAATGGCTTGGAGTTTGACACAGACGAATACCCCTGAATGTTTTATGTGATTATTTTAGGTTTCATTTTTTACACAGATTGATTGACTTACTGTTTATATTAATAATAAGTTATATGTATATATTTGTACAATATACAAAATGCACCTTACAATTAAACATTCCTATCATTAAACTGCACCATATTTGCTATAGTCCGTCTTGGTGATTCATAAACGCCTGTCTTCACAACATTACATCTAGTTATATGATGAGCTAGACTATTGTGATGGACAAATGTGTCCAAAACTTTATTTTGGCACAATAAAGTTATGTAATGTGAAGGGCTGGCAATATTTAAACTGTATGACTATATTTGTATTCCAGTTACAGAATTCCTCCACAGAGATGATAAACTTCAGCACTCAATGTAATTTTTCACCTGTATTTTGAAAACAAACATTAAATCTTTGGCATGTAATGCCACATGGTGATTGCAATACTCTAATTTATTAGTTTCACACATTAGATATGACGTCAGAACTATAATGTGTTTAGATGTAGATTGAGTACATCATGTACCATAACTGTGTACACACAAATTACTTCTTCAACAGCATTAAATAATTATGTTTTTAATTCCTTATGAATGAAACACCGCCTGTGCAGTTACATTTATAACAAGACAAACTAGCTTGAGAACCAGACACACACACACACACACACACACACACACACACACACACACACACACACACACACACACACACACACACACACACACACACACACACACACACACACACACACACACACACACACACACACACACACACACACACACACACACACACACACACACACACACACACACACACACGGAGTTCAGTAAACACTTCGACTACTGAGCCACAGCCACCACAATAAAATGACCCTGGACAGTTTCTGGCCTTAATTGCTATAGTTTCAAACCCTTCTCAAATGATGATGTTCATTTTAAACTGATAAATAATAAGCTAAGTGTGGTTAACCATGCAGACATACTGTAGGCCAACTGTAAATGCTGTGATGTAAGAAGTACTCAGATAATATAAATATAAATACTACAGTGTAATAATACCCTGTTAGGAAATGTATATAAAAGTACCAAAAGTACTTACTGTGCATAATGTCACATATATAACTGGATTATTTTTGTATACATTATTGTGTTTAGCTGGTAAAGGTGGAGCTACTTTTAATGACCTTACAGTATATACTGCTGCTGGATATTTTAACCTGTAATTATATATCATATTTTATTTATTATATTTATAATTAGTTTTAGCTAATAATTTGAAGTAACTTAATAAATACTCAAGTGAAGTAAAAGTTCCCCAACATCTTAAGTACAGTACTTGAGTTAATATACTTTACTAACACCACTGTGTAAATAAATGTCCACATTTCAACATGTCTACCCTGCTGTTTAATGTTTTCTCCACTAGACAGCGACAAAACCCCGCTGTCAAGAAAATACTCTCTCTGACGTCACTTTCATGGGACGGAAGTTAAGAATTGTAGTCGTTAGGAACCCTGACATGACAAATCAAACTGCATTTTGAAATACATACAACCAGCCAAGTAAACACAATAACAGGTAGGTGTTTTTTTGGTTAAACTATGCGGCGTTCAGTGTTTTCCTGTAATGAACATATTTGATTCTGTCGTTGGTGGCTGTTATTCTGTGGTGGTTTGAATGAGCCCAGCCCAATGTTGTTGACTGAACACGGAGCTAATAAGCAAGCTAACTGCAGTCATATAGCTGTTTATATTCAGTGTTTAAACCTTATAGAGGGCTAAATATATTGACACAGATGATCAGTTAGCGGCTGAGCGTCTGTGTAAGTTTGTCACATCTCTGTGTGTCTGTCATGTAAATGTTACTGAGGCCTAACCCTGAATGCTACTCTGCATTTCCATCATAAACAGATCTTTGGGTCTCTAGCACCAACAGGAAGGATGGTAAGATATGTTTTATTTGGACATGTTTGTGCGTTCACTGCTTTGGTACAGCGCTTATGTTGTACATGCGATGAATTATTTATCATTACTCTAACCTAGAAGATTTAACTGTACTTACCTCATCTTCCTCCCCATTGCTGTGCTTTTGACAGCATGGTCGAGTGAAGGTTAAATCTACAGCCCAGCAGGAAGAGGAGAAAAGAAAAGAGAGAGAGAAGAAACTGAAGATATACGTGGCTGCACGAGATGCCTGTTTTTCCAAGGTTTTTCAGAAAGCCTCATTTATAGCATAGTAGTATACAGTATGTTTGACATGATAAGGCTATTCATTTACTATAAAATTGTTGGTCTGAACAACTTTAATGAAAAACAACAATGAATTGTTCCTTTTAAAATGTTCTACCTGTGTAGTTTAACCCCAGTATAGCTTGCCATCCCACCATTGCACCCGGTTACATGTTCTTCATTACCATGAGCATGCATTTTAGTTTTGTTCACACACAACATCCTGTTGCCGTAAATGCTCACTAGAGCACAACATTTGCATTACGAAATCAAACACATCCGACAGATTTAATAACTTATGAAAACTGCAGTGCAATGCTATTATGGGAAATACTGAGCCTTTAAAAAAATGAAATGGGCTTCAGACCGAGAGCTACTGAAAAGATAGGTAAGTTAGAAAGAATAGACAGATGTAAGAATAAAGAAAGACAAAGGCCTTATCCATTATGTGAAAGACTCCATGTGACTTCAATGTGGAGCATTAAACCAGAAGTGATGCTTATTAAATAGTTTCACTAAGCAGCACCTTATTATTAGTTTTATTTTGTCTTTTTACTCATTTCTTGTCCTTTGTATTTGCCTTCCTCTCTTCACCCTGTATGACAGAGGAAGGAGGGTATCTTCGACGATGAAGCTCTGCAGATTTCCCAGCAGCTCCTGTCTTCCAATCCTGACTTTGCAACCCTCTGGAACTACAGGAGAGAGATCCTAATGCACCTGGAGACTGTGAAGTGAGATCATAACCATGTATCCTATTATCTGAATATTTACAGTAAAAAACGTTTTGAATGGAAAGCCATCAGAGATTTGACAGGAGAATGATGTCTTTGTTTCTTGATATCCGCTCCAGGGAAGAGGATGAAGTGCAAAAGATTTATGTGGCTGAGCTCTCTTTTCTGGAGTCGTGCCTCAAAGTGAACCCAAAGTCCTACGGCAGCTGGCATCACCGTTGGTGGGTCTCAACCCGCCTGCCCAAACCGGACTGGGCCAGAGAGCTGAACCTGTGTGATCGCTGCCTGAGCCTGGACGACCGAAACTGTGAGTAAAGGAGGATGATGACATTGTTAAAATCTGGTTAATTGAGCTTTTTATTTTTATTTATCTAAGCCTGATATTAACCTGCACTCTTTCCATCTATGTCTCACACCTTATTTGACCAGTCCATTGCTGGGATTACCGCCGGATGGTTGTGAAGATGTCCGGTGTGCCCGTGGATCAGGAGTTGGCCTTCACCGATCGTTTGATTGGCTCCAACTTCTCCAACTACTCCAGCTGGCATTACCGCAGCACCCTGCTGCCGCTGCTCCACCCAGAATCCCCTGAGCCCACATCACCGTGCCACAAGCCCCCCCAATCCTCCACTCCGCCATCTCCCCAAATCCTCTCCCACCGCGTCTGTGAAGAGCAGCTCCTGAAAGGTGAACTTAACAACAATTTTGCAAGTGAATGACAAGGGTTTGAAGTCAGCAATACCTATTAACAACCAACAGGGGGCAGACTAAGGCTTCACATTGGCTGTAAATTATAGAACTTTTACGAAAATAAATATTGCAAAATTACTTCTGTTTTAAATACAGCTCATTAAGCATGTAACAGGAAGCATCTTACTACGCCCATTTTGTTTTCAGAGTATGAGCTTGTACAAAATGCTTTCTTCACCGACCCCAACGACCAGAGTGCTTGGTTCTACTATCGCTGGTTGCTCGGCAGAGGTATGTTAATCTGCATTTGTTTTTCATATGCACATGAAGTACATAACGTTTTTTTGTGTATGAAATATTTACTGTGCTATAATACAATAATATAATTTGTACGAACAATGTTTTTTCTTTTTAACAGCTGAACGTGAAGAGATGATAAGCTGTGTGTATGTGTGTCGGGATGAAGAGAGAGTGGCAGTCGCCTTCTCTGGGCCCGTCAATGTGAGTATCTTCACTTCATACATATTTCCACATGTTTCCAAAAACATTACACGTTAAGTGACTCCTTAGGTCCTCTCTAGCCTCTTTAGACCCCTTGAGAAACTCATATGGCCAAATGTGTTCTTTTTGCATTTTTTTATTTTTGATATGTAGCAGAATGTATAAAATGCAGTGCAAATATAGGAGACTTTGATATAGTCTCCATGGTTATCTGAGCCACCTGTCTTCTTCCCTCCGCTCTGTTAGGCGCAGGCTTGCGGCCTGCTGCTGGTCCTGGACGGTTTGCCCCAGAGAGTGGAGTGGAGGAGCGTCCACCCGCGCTTTAAACACAGCCCGGTCTGGGTATCCTTTCCATTGGCTGGTCATGCCCCAGACATTATATTTGACTGTCACTGTGTGCTGCTGATTGAGCAGTAAACCAGTTTAACATTCTGTTCTCATCATTCTTTAAGATAAGATATACTTTATCTTTACATCCAGCATGCTGATAAAACCCTGTGGTATGTGCGGAATGAGAAGGAGAAAAAGTTTGATCACCAAGGAAGGAATTCATTTAATTTCAAATTTCAAACCTTTATTTATCCAGGTGTATCCCTTGAGATCATTGATCTCTTTTTCAACCTGCTAATGTCATTGTGAGTGCAGTAGCACCTCTCGTCCTGGCTTTTAAAGCTTTTCTATCTTGTCAGGGCACAGTGACACAGACGAAACCACATGTGGTCTGAAAGAGAGCTTATAAAGATGCAGTCAGAAGAAAGTAACTCTGACTGAGCATCCTGTGAAGTGGGCTCGCCATAAACAGTAGTTTCATTTCAAACCGGTCAAATTGACTAGACAGCATTAAACAAAAGACTGTTATAATTGTGTCTTTTAGAAAAAACATATTTTTAAAGATCATTTCCAAATAACTTGGAATAGTGGGTGTTGTGAATATTTGTAGAAAACACCCAACTCAGGTTCTTCATCAGTAGATGCATGCTCAGCTGTCCTGGAAATTGATCTGTTAACATGCGAGCCAAGAAGCTGTTATTATATACATATTAGATATACATACATATTCATCTTTATTGAGTCAACCATATTTATGTTCATTTATAATCCCATGTTATTAGCATATTGATGAGCGCAGGTGCAGCGGAGACACTTTTCATTCTGGTGACTCCCCCAGGATGTATATTCAGCATTATCTGATTATTTTATCTTAAAATGTGTATTTTAATTCTGTTTTCTTTTTAACTTAATTCCAAACGCGTAATGCTCTCTCAGTGATAGAATTTACTGGTCTGTGCAAACTTAATTTAATTGATTAAAGCCCGGTTTCTCCAATTTACTGTTTTGTTATTCCATCAAGGATGTCGTTTTGTCACACTGCCCAGCGCTGCCTGCTGCATTGGCATGGAAATGAGCCAGGGACTCATTATGAGGGTCTGGGTGGGTTCCATCTATCTCTTTCCCTTGCGGAGTAAATTATCAATTTTGTTTAACACCTGCTAAGATCTGTGATTTTCCTCCTGGAACGATAAGCGACATCCCGAATGAACACAACCTGACTGTGCACTGGACTGAGAAACCCACTCACAGAGACTGTGCTCTGTACACAGGTGATGCATCCCATGATTGTTTTACATGTCATGCTCTGTTAGGGTTCTGTTCTTCCTCGAGCCTCATTACACTTTAACTTCCACAGGTCGATCTGAGAGTTGGTGTCGGGACTCGGCTACGGATCAGGAACTTTTCAGGTATTGTTTCACCACAACAAAGCACATTGTGTGAGTCTTTCAAATGAGTAAAACTGGGTGTGTTCTTCTTTCTGTAGGAGTGAACTCTCAGTAGAGAAGACCTCAGTGTTGCAGTCAGAGCTGCAATCTTGCAACCAGCTACAAGAACTGGAGCCACTTAATAAATGTAAATGATTTAAATGCATCATATATGGTTCTTTACTCTTTACCGAACCAAATCACCATCGCCACAGACACTCAAATCACAAAAAACACACATGCTGAGGTTTGCTGATAGTGATGTTTTCTCCAGCCTTGAAACCCTCTGCTTGCCTTGGCAGGGTGCTTGTTGACCATTATCCTCCTGATGAGGGCGCTAGATCCTCTGGGATATGAGAAGGAGACACTGGCTCATTTCCAAACTCTGAAAGTGAGTACCAATCAATGACACTCAACACAAAATAGGTCACAGACTGAGTAGGCTTGAATATTTCACCTCCTCCTTTCCCTCACTCGCGTCCCTTCCTTGCGTCTTAGCTCCGCCTCCGTAAGACGCGATATAATTATAACAATATTAATAATTGATGGATTCATTTCCTTATGGTATTTGATCTTGTTTCAGATCAACTTTTGTATTAGATGTTGTTATTTCATTTGTCCTACAGAAGTGAGACAAAAATCACTAAAATATGTATTAAATATGCCACCCGTATTTGTATATATCCTAAATGTTTGACGTGCTGTGGGTCTACCACACATGCATCAAAAACCACAAGTAAGAACTGTTAGTTATAATTTTATAATAAAAACATTATTATTGAATTTGTAAGTATATTACACACACTTTAATGTTTTTATAGAGTATGATCTCCTCATTCGTTTAAGAGATTTAATATATTTTACTCTTAATGGAGCACTTTAAACATTTAATGACTGATCCTCCTTTAACGCAGTGGTTCTCAAACTTTTTCTGTCAGGCCCCCCCTTTGGAGAAAAAAAAAAATTAGTCAGGCTCAGTGAGGCACCAGAGATTTCTTTTGGGGGTGCTGTGGGGTAGCTTGACGTTTCATAGAGGGTGCTCAAACATTTAGGGTTTCCCATTAATGTACCGGGCACTACAGTGGAACTCTCTACTGCAACAACCCCCACGCAGATACACAATGTTCCCGCGACTGTTACAATGAAGGCTCGATAATCAGCTCACGGCATATAAGTGTAAGCAGGGGTCAAGTGCTATTTTTACAGGTGGTGTGTGGACCTCACATAGGGGGGTCCGGGGGTAAGCTCCCCCGGGAAGATTTATTTTTAAATATTGAAGTTAAAAGCATCAATCTGGTGCACTTTGAGAGCAACATTAAGAGATCTATGGATACCTCTCTCAACACCCATATGAAACAGAACTGTTAACAGATTTACTTTTTCTTTATGGATATTTTACAAATCACCTTTTTAAACTTTATTCTTTTTTTTACTGTCATATAGTATTTCATACCTGTTTTTCATTTATTCTCTTATTTTTGTATAACTATAATGATCATATAAACGTGTGCCTCGGAAATAATTGTTTACATTAATGGTGACCAAAACATTTGAGACCCACTGAGATAACAATGAGAGTCCTTTAGCTCACTGAGTCTCTCAGTCTGACAGGAGAGGACACTCCTCCACTTTGTTGTTGAAAAAACTCCTTATATCTGTTAGCGTAGCTCGCTAGCACCAGAAGCTAACAACAACGATCTCCGGTACCGGTGCGCTCTCTCTCGCGCGCACACAAAATGGCTCGTTCCACACACACACACACACACACACACACACACACACACACACACACACACACACACACACAGAGAGCCAAGCTTTAATGAAACACAGAGACCCAGACGTAATAGTACTGCATCATATTATTTTTGAATCAATCATTTTTCAAATTATAATTTTATTTTTTTTATCTTTTTTTTTTTTTTATAACCATTTTTCCTCCTGGTCTCTCGCGCCCCCCTGGCATGCCTCTGCGCCCCCCAGGGGCGGCGCGCCCCCCACTTTGAGGACCACTGCTTTAACAGTAAGATCAGCTGCAGTGAGCAGAGGCTGTGAAGGTGGGGGCGAGGCTTTTATACACGAGTAGTGAAAACACTTCCGCGTAGTCTGCTCTCGTGTATCCTCCCTTTCGTCTCCTCTGGAAGCCTCCTCCCTCACCCCTCCTCGACTCCTCCGTGTGCATTTCAGCAATTGGGACTTCCTTCAACATGGCGTGTCTTGATCGATTTCCGGGTCAAGTCCCGGAGGAGGGGGAGAGAGGAGTCGAGGAGGGACATTGAGATGAACCTAGTGTTTTTTTTTGTTCTTCAGGAAGTGGATTCCATGCGCTCTGCATATTACAGCGACCTGTGCAGCAAGTTTATGATTGAAAACACCATCCTGAAAATGGAATATGCTGAAGTGCGCGTCTTCAGTATTTCTGACAAGGTGAGTGGTGAATTGTGAAAAAGTCAATTAAAATGAGCCAATAGTGAAGTGCTTATAATTAGTCATTTTTTTCCTTTTTGTTTCTAACAGAATCTGACCACTTTGTGCCACCTGGACCAGCTGTTATTGGTTACCCACATCAATCTGTCCTCCAATCAGTTGCAGCGGCTGCCTCCTCAGTTCGCCATGTTGCAGTGCCTGGAGGTGACAAAGCTCCAATTCAAAACCTATTCTATGTCCAAGACGGGCAGTGTGTCTTTTCGTCTTTTCTGTCTCCCACTATTGTTATTTGACAGTTGAAAAGATACATACTGAGAACTTAAATTCTGCAGCATATTTCACTAAAATGTTCTTGCTTTCAGGTCTTGGAGGCTGACAATAACTCTATAGAAAATCTGGAAGGAGTTTATCATCTTCCCAAGCTGGAGGAAGTCATCTTGAAGAATAACAGTATCCTTAAATCTTACCTGAAAAACATCCTGTTCTATATCGGAGTTATTCCTGTAGAATAACTGTCATAGAGATACATTTATATTATATCGCTATACATTACATGTTACTTGTTAGACGCCTGTACCCAAAGTGACTTACTGTACATGCACTCAATACTGTGGGCAATCCCCACAGGAGGGGGGTGAAGGGTCTTGCCCAAGGACACAACAACATGCTGACTACAGTGGGCATTGAACCAGTGATTCAAGGCTTTATTGTCATGTGTGTCAGTAGCTACAGTGTAGATATGGCAATGAAAAACTTAAGTTACAGGCTCCCCCAACAAAGCAACATGAATATATATATATATATCAGGGTTTCCGTTAGCCGGTAATTACCGGTTTTTAGCTGGTAAAATGTAATAAAAACCGGTAAATTCAAAACTTGCCGGTCAAAATGTCCGATGCTCCTATCGATTGCCCGCCGGTCATTATCGGCCAATATTCACTCTTAATAGTTTGATCGGTGCTCTCTATAAAGGCCGATCAGGAGAGCTGGATCTGATCGATATGGACATAAACGCGAGTGAAGTATAACCGGACACGAGAGAGAGATCAGATCAGCTGCTCCATAATCACCTGAAGCCCCGCCCACTGTTTAGTGCGCTGCATGAGAAACTAACGGGCTGCCAGGAGAGAGAGGGAGAGGCAGGGAGAGGCAGGGAGAGGCAGGGAGAGGCAGGGAGAGGATCCGTTTCTCCCGTGTTATTCTTCTTAAATTAATGTAAACTTTTGAATAATGTACTTCATCTACTACAAGTAGTTTCTTTGAATGTAATAATTATGTTGTTTGTGGAATCATTTATTGAAAAATGAATCTGAATTTTTCGATCTGTTACGATTATAAACTGAAGCAATATAAAAATGAGCCCCAATAACTGAGTTTTAAACACCAGCATATCTGGTCATAGTCCGGTGATTACCTGCTAACGGAAACTCTGCTACACAACTCTTATTATTATTATAGAAACATGACCGGTAAGTTTCAAATTTGTCCGGTAAAATAAATTCTGTTCGGACATTTGACCGGCGAGAAAAAATCCTAGCGGAAACCCTGATATATATATATATAGGACATAAAACAAATAAAATAGTGCAAGAAGAGTCTATATTGCACAAGTAAATGGATCATGATATATAGATAAATAATTTGAATGTTTATGGATTCAGTGCTCCACTGATCCGAAGATCAATGCATTAACCCACTGAGACACAGCCTCCCATATATGTCTAATAATATTTATAATACTCCCCTCATAGTGTACACTTGACTCAGCGCACGGCTCTTAGCTGAAAAACAGCTTGGTAGAGAGTGCGAGCAGCTGAGGTTGTGTGAATAGTGCCACGTAAAACACTACACTCAAGGATGGAGTTTCCTAAGTTCAGAAAATTGCAGGCTCTTCCGTTTCAATGCATGAATAATTTGTTTTCACATGGAACGTTGTTAGGCCATCGGGTAAATAAAATCAGTGCAATAATTTCACAGAGCTTACGGCATCATTAAAAGGGGAAGAGACACATTAGCAGCACATCCTCACCTGCACCTTCTTCTCCTTCACGCTTCACTTCCCCTGATACACTCCAGAGGAATTAATGCAGTATACAGGTTGTGACACTGAGGCTATACTCAAGATCTGGTTTTGTAACCCTTTCAGTGCCTACCTTCTGATGCAAATGTAGGCCTCCGGGTTTTATATTTAGAATAATTAATTAATTAATATCCCAGTGTCATATTTAACATGTGGATCTCAGTGTTTGGAAAATGTACGCCCTATCTCCTTCTCTTCACTGCAGCCCACAGGAATGCTTTTTCTTTAACCCACATGCACAGAAATCTCTTCATTGTCAGATCTTCAGCCGCTGGCCTCCTGCCCCAAGCTAAAGCGCCTTGATCTCCGTGGCAACCCTGTAACTCAGACGGCCGACGTGGAGTCGAAGCTGGCAGAGTTGCTGCCCTCAGTCACAGACCTCCTGCTCTGATCAGACGTGGGCAGGACTCACTGCCATCACCATCAGCGCTGCCGTTCAAATGTCCCTCGGTCTCTGCCGTGTTTGTTTGTGAAAGAGAAAGTGGGTGTTTTTCGTCTGTCTTGTGACTCTGTTTGTTCCCCTCGTTTCGGGAGACTGTCAATCATCCTGATCCCTGAGGCTCTGAAGCCTGATGCCTCTGGGCAGAAGTCAGAAACCTTTAACACAAACGTTTTCAAAGTCTGAGACTGTCCAGACAAAGCTTGGAAAAAGGCTGCCCCTCACCCCACCTTAGTTACACTCAATTCCTGCATGCATATGAGATAATGATTACGTTATCTGAGCCAATAGACACTTAACAATTGAGCCAAAACAGCCCGATATGTCTGTTGGACAAACATTTTAAACTACATCAAATACATAAGAAGGTCATAAAGCATTTATTCGTTTCTGACTCTGGGTACGGGGGGAAACAGTAAAACTACTGTTTCTCTGAACTATCTGTTTAACTAAATCAAACATTTAGGCAATTTTATGTGATCTTATTTTCAAAACTAATGTAATAGTATTTCACAACCACTAATTGAGCCTTCACTTGCCTCTCTTCAAAAGCTTCCATTCAAACACGTCAAACAATATGTCTAGATCTGTCAGTGTGAGTGATTGGGTAAGTGTGTATTAACCAATGTTGCATTTCTATGTGCGTGCGTATGGATATCCTTATTACAACAGAACCAATGCATGCAGTAACCCTCATCATGGAGTACATTGAGTTTATATGGATTGGCATGCAGCAATGCTGGCTTATTGCTTCTATAAGCTTACAAATGGTTATATAAGAAAAATATGCGTGTAACTAATTATCACCGCATCGCATAGTTCTCACACGTTTTTTGAAGGGTTGTATAAAGCATTTCATATATGACACTATACTGTTGCACAGTGTAAGTCACAGATCCAGTAATAAATCTGCACACATTGTGTCACTGCCTTCCAAAAAGCTTCTTTGTATTATTTTCTGTTATCAGAGAAAATGTAATATCTGATGCACAGACCTTCCTGAATGCACCTTTATCCCCCAAGCCATTCACACATGAGGTTTACCTTTTTCATTTGAGTAATCTGCCGTATCGATTGATGTTTGTTTTACTCTGATGTGATAGGTTGCCTAAGCAGACCCTTCAGGTAGAAACTGTCCTATGGGAACGTGTGAACCAAAACAAGCAAACTTGATCAAATTTGAAAAATACTGCAACTTATTGCGGGTTCATTAATTGTTCAAGTATTTATTTAAAAACCACGGTGAATGTTAAGCGCTATTGCAACCTCATGGTGGAACTAGAAGGAAAACTGGATCATCAAAGAAAATAGTTTTCATCCTGATAAAACATGACTGTAGCAAATTGCATGGTAATCCACTCTGTAGTAGTGAGAACACTTTACTTGAAACTGGACATATCAACCTGATGGCAGTGCTAAAAGACATGACTGTGGGTCACCAAAGTCAGTAGGCTTTTATCCTCTGTGTACCGTAAATATCTGTAAAAGTGTAAATGATCAACCAACAGAAAGGCATGCTCATCAAAGAGTCACAGTTAAAAACTGATCAATGTATGCTTTTTAAGAGAAATAAACAGGTAAAATATGTACAGTGAGGTCTCTGGTAGAAGGTCTAAAGTCCTTCCTTTTGTTGATTATTATTATTATTATATCCGGTGCCTTGGCACGGAACACGTCTGTTCGGGGACTTAAACCGACGACCCTACAGCTCCCAGTCCAAGCCCCCTGCTGACTGAGCCACTGCCGGAGTTGCACAATCACAAAGTTGAGAAATTGAGAGAAAACCAACTCAACCAGTCCGTGTGGATAACTCAGTCATCATCTTGCATCACTCCGTGTCATACCTTGCTAAGAACAAGGAGTGGATCCTCCCACACGGTGAGTGGGCAAACGATCATTTGTAGGCATTTTGGAACCATCAGAGTATGAAAAGCAGGTGTGATGAATATCAATTATGGCTGAATTCCATTCAGATGTTTTAATCCTGGTATTGTGCATGCTGGCTGAGTCATACTTTTTCTTTCCTCTTCCTTGTATGACGAGTGAAATTTCTTCTAAGAAAAACACCAATATGATTTAATATTTAGATATATACAACCCTCTTTTTTCATCTCCTTTCGAATGTTGAACTAAGTTACCTTAATTACCTGAATATAGTCTGGTATGGCCTAGATACTACTAAATGAGTGAATACATCTATACATTCAAAATGAGACTGGTGTACACGCCTCATTAGGATTGCATCCAAAACTATTGCTAATAATAATAAATGGTTTACTTTTCTAACCCCCTCACATGATCAAGGCAAATGTTTGCCTTTATTGTTTGCAAAAGAAAAATGGAGAGAATCACTATTTGTTGAAATGTTTAAAGTAGGCCTACACAAAAAAGAAGCCAACACATTGACCATCCTGCTATGATCATTTGATTGTAATATCCATTCAATTGTCATTTATTAGTATGGATTAGTAAATAGTTATTGTAATGTCGGAAATACTTTATCATTAGGAATAGCCATTGATAGGTAGCATACAGTTTTCCAGAGTGCCCTTACCAACATTAATACACAAGCCTAAGTAGAAACTGTTAACCAGATTATGGAAAAGTGTGCTAATATTCACTAGAATGAGTTTTGACTTACATTTCAAAAGAGGCGGCTCTTTACTCTCTCTCTCTCTCTTGTAAATGTAACCGTTTCAGTTGTTTCTTTTGGCAAAAATATCTGACTGCTGTTGGTGCTGCAGGAAGGCGTGCCCTCACTCTATTACTTAAAGGAGGTCTGAACTCGTAGTCTGTCAAACACAAAGACACGGCGCACAGAAGATTTCCTCCTCCAGTCTGCTTTGTCTCATTTCATCTGCCTCTGAACTGAGTGAGTTTGAACGAGCTGTTTCACAGGTATCTCTCTCTATATACAGCCATCTGGTCTTTGATTTATGACTTTATGTTGTTAACGATAACTTACTTTCAAACTTTTCTCCTGAGCAGTCTACTCTCAGATACAATGCCAAAAATAATGTGCTTTTATATCAAGAAAAGGAGACAGGTCATAACAAAATGTGCATTATTATGTCTTTGCTGTCTAGATTATGCAAACAATAGTCTAAAAGAGTGCCATCTCATGCATGATTTAAAAGACTGTATTTTTAATGTTCATCTGTTTTCCTGAATGGATTTGGATTTTGGATATTATAAATATTATTCATTTATTTTGCACTTTGTGTCTGGAAGGGTTGTTTTTCCTCACATACAGTACATAATATTATATCTGCTGTGACGCCCTGCAACATAGAGCTGTCAAACATCTGCCACAAATCTGTGGTTCATGTCTAATCATGTAAAGCAAAGCATGCTCATACTAAAGCAACAGTAGGCTACTGTGTAAAGGAATGCATCACATGAACTTGGCTTAGTTTCAAATACAACTGGGTGTGTGTTCAAATTGAACTCTGAATGCTTTTATTCTGACGTCACACGAGAACGTCCCTTTGTGTTCCTTGTTTTGGTTGGAAATGACTGACCCCCCCAGGCCCCGTTGCATCAGGTCATGAGTGTAGCAGAGGGATGCTTACTGGATCTCCACCCTCCTGGAGGAAATTGTTAACCAGCGATGAATAGCACATTGGTATTTTCTGCTGCTAAAATCATGGGAGTGACCTAAGACCTACTTTATTTAACATTTGATCAGAATTTCCCCATCTGCACATGCAGGCACCCAAACATGTGCCAGGCCCAGAGGGAAGTCGTCTCTGAGTAGTTTGAATGTAATACGTAGGATGATGAAGCGATAAATCTCATATCATTAGCAGGTTCAGCTGTCGGTCGTCTTATCGTCCACAACATGTCGCTCTAATTTCTGCACAGCTTGGTGAGAGTTGTATCTCCTCGTCTCACTGTGTTAGTTTACAGTGCATTGCAAACATTTCATAGTTCATTTATCCCATTAATGGATGCAGTGAGAAGGTTTTGTTGATTTGTGTGGGTGTGTTTCTGTTTTTGCAATCTAAGTGTAACCTCAAACATATGGACCTCAATTCCACACATTCTTCCTCCTCTACCCACATTATATCTTTTGGCACTGAGGCAGGTGCTGCGGTGGATTTCATCGTCATTTACTAAAGCAGTTTGGGAGGGCCCACCCTGCAGTAAACTTTCACCCACCCACTGAGGTTTCCAAAATCTATGTGGAGACTTGCAGATAGAGTATAAAAGTCCCTGTCCCATCTGCTTTATTGAATGCAATTTGGAGTTAGCAAACTGTGTTTAACTAACGGAATATACAGTAGTTGACATTGACATACTAAACAATGACGACATGTTTAGTATTACCTCACACATTACAGTTCTTTAAGGTTTCAGTCCTCCCTCTTTGCTGCATTTGGCCACACCTTAACTTCCAGAAGAACCTAAAATCAGCTGTGATTGATTACTATGATTAATTATTACTGTAGTAAATGTTGTTGTAATTACAATATAATTAGACGTTTGATTTTTCCATGGTTCACGCCAATTTCAGATTTAAACGTGTTTGGCAACGTGTGTGATCACTTGGAAAATGTGCTGCAAATATATAGCCTTTTGTAATTGTTAAGTATGAATTGGGAAAGAGTTCATGGTTTTACGAAAATTGTGTTTTGTGTGAAAATGTGTTTTGTGTGAAAGCAGTTAAAAAGTAATTCACAGTTTGGTCCACATGGACTTTAGTTTTGCTCACAGTGTGAAGAGTTTTTAAAATCCATGATAGCAAAATCAACAATGTGAAATGTAACATTGTGCTGCTCTGAAAGAAGAAACTACTCAAAGCTGAAACATGCGAACGAACACACGATCATCGATGTAGTAGGCGTGTTTATCAGGTTGTTATAGATTTACTTTATGCACATTGTTTTGTTAAGCTTCTTCTGGGCTTGTCTGTAAATATGACGCACTATCCTGAGCTGCAGGAGGAGGAGGAGCTCCCACACCTACAAGTCTGTCTGGGATTTAGTGTTCTGTCTTAACTTCATTGGCATAAGAATAAAGAGTGAAGTCATTGACAGTCCCACTATTGCTTCATCGGAGTCTGTTTGGTAACCACATAACAATCACTGTTGCCAAGCTAGGGAATCTAAAGTGAGTTTTTGAAAGGTTTCAGTGGCTTTGTAGCTTTTTCTTGAAGCTATAATTTCTGCTAGAAAGTAAAATCAGAAGGAAGTGAGCTAAGGCTCAGGAAAATGGGTGTAGGGAGAAAGTAAGATGGAAATAGGTTGGATTTGAATCACTGTGCCGTGAAGTTTAGCAGAATTCATGTGCAGATTCTTCAAAGAAATGTGACGCTTATCTTTGGTGGCAAAGCATAGTGTTTTGGTCGTTAAACACAGAAATTACATTTGTTTAATGGCACAGTTGTGAATCAAAGCACATTCTCACCCCCAGGAGGCTTTCACTAATTTAATAAATCAGATAATGTAATATTAAGCATCAGTGAATCAGCTCAGGATTAATCCTGAGAGAAAGAAGCCTTTCTGTCTAATGCCATGTGACGTAACTTCGTCACTGTGAACTGACGGCTTCGGGCCTCGTAACTCAGCACTTTAGTGAACAGTTTTGCACTTTATTAGCGTGATTGCACAGTACCGTTTGGCATGGCATATTTGCACATTTTATGTAATTTATACTAATTATTGAGATAGTATTTATTAAAGGATTAAACCGTATTGATTGAAATGTCGTCTGGCAGGTGCTGGTCGGGTCCTCGGCTCCGCCTGACAAGATAGGGGAGTTAGCGAGAGCGCCGAAAGTGCTTATGCTGGGTTAGAATGACAGCGGTTAAGAATAATCTGGGTGCACATAATATGTGGGGGTGGAGACATCATAGCGTTAAGTGGCAGTAATTGTTCAAGTGCTGAATGCGTTTAGTTGGGTTTGTATGTGTGTACTTCTGTTCAGTTATAAGTTTGTGTTTGAAAAGTGTTCCCCCTCCCGTTATGTCTGTTGCTGATTGTGTGCACCTGGTGCCCTGTGTTGTCTCCTCCCCCCTCACCTGTGTCTTGTTGTGCTGATTAGAGTGTGTGTATTTAGGCTCTGTTTCCCTGTCTGTTGAGGAGGCAGGGACTGTGGGTGAGATCCTGGTGGCTGCAGGCTGGGCTCACGTGAACAGCAGCAGGATTGAGGCTGTGTGTGTAATGTGTTCATGTTTTAATAAATGCCCACACCGGGTTGTATTTTTGGACGTTCTGCCTCTGCCTCCTTGCTTGGTCGGGCCGCTCAATTGTCAGCATCACATGGCATTAGGGATTATTATCTGTGTGTACGCAGATCAAATAAACAAATAAGCATAGTTGTATGATTTGTTCTCTGTTTAGCAGCAGAAATAGTGGATACATGACTATGTATGTGTTGTTCGTACTGAACAAGTGATCTTTATCATTCAAATCAGCAATGATCAGCTTCTTATGGGTTACATAATTATCATGTCAGACCAGTCATTTCAGTTTTACGTATTTATTTGTATCAATACCTTTTAGTGAAATGAACAGATGAGGGATATTAATATGACACTATAACAATACTTGAATACAAATATATATTTTCTGTGTCTAAAAAGATCAAAGATTCCCAACCTGGGGTACTTAGGGGTAATACTGCACTTGCTAATGTATACTAGAAAACCCCCCCACAATAAATCACCAATTTGATAAATACAAGAAGAAATCCAGATTGGATAACAACAAAACCCTTATATCTAATAATCTATCATATCTGTAATCTGTCAAAAATACAAGGAGTAGTAAAAAAATACCTTAAGAACTTCACTCATATGTGGTGTTGTCTTTAATGAAATGGATGCATATTCAATGACAAAGCTTTAGATTTCCTCATTGTGTTTTACCTTTTTCTCAGGATGCCTGTATCGACGCGATCAATCAGAGACCGGTCTGCAGTGGGTCGGTTTCCTATTGTCACGTTTGGATTTGGGGAGGACACAGAGGAAGAAAAGGAAGCCTCAGAGGAAGACAATTCTGAGCAGGGAAATGCAGGCCAGACATGGCTGCGTAAAATCTGCCCGTGCTGCTGTCCCCAGCGAGATGACGTCGACATTACAGACACTTTGATTACAGTAACTGATGACCTGGATAAAGGGACAGACGATAAGAAGCCTGATGCTGGTGACAGCGAGCTTGATGGTAACTTATTTATTAAACAAAGTAAATACCAGCAGTGAGATGGACTCCACTCTTAAACAACTGTTCTTGTTTTGCAGAACTCCTCCTCAATGTGAAATCAATAGACCTGATGAAAGGCAAATCAGGGGAGAACCGCACACAGCACCACACCGACCTCTACCAAAGTGACGCCTTTATTATTCGCAGAGGACAGAATTTCCATATGTGGATTACTCTGTCTCGACCCTTTGACCCCAGCACTGACAAACTTCACCTCGATCTTAAAACAGGTTAGTCCGCGTTCTAGAAAGAAACCATGTACTGTTTGCTAATTGGAGATTTGAACACTGTAGTTCACTTTTACGACCCATAAAGTGTCCTTTGTTTTATGGTTATACATAGAAATAAGAAAATGTAAAGATAGACTTTCCCATCAACAAAATACATGAGTCCATTTTATACAGCAACAGTTCAGTCAGACAACTCACGTGTTTCTTTAACATGTTTATTAGAAGCAGCATATAGTTGAGTTTGGCGACTAGGCTCGGGCATCATCACTCCATAGATATACATAGCACGATGAGTGATGATCAGGGGCAGACTGGGGGGAAAAAGTGGCCCGGGGATTAATTGACAGACAGGCCTGTATCGGCCGGCCGGTGACGAAAGTATGTTACTTAACAAAAAACCCTATGCATTTTATGTTATTTTGGACCATTATTCATATAGTAATCACATTACCTGAGCCTTTGAGTTGCCTAGAGCACAATAGTTACAGCATCATATTTAGTGATTTTAATGTTAAAAGATCATTGATGCAATAACATTTGGACCCAATTTGCCTGACTTGACACATGGAATAAAACATGGGCGTAGGCAGCATCCTCAATGTGGGTGAGACAATTTAACAGGGGGTGTGGGCAGGTGGTGGCCCTAACCTCCTCTAGGGGGGTCCGGGGGCATGCTCCCCCGGGAAGATTTTTTTTTAAATGTTGAAGTTAAATGCATCAATCTGGTGCACACACTCCAGGGAGTGGCCGGATCACTTACAAATGTGGGCCGGTAGGATTTAGGCAAAAAAACGAAAAAAAAAAAAACCAAGCCTACAGGTGGAAGCTGCACTCTAAAAACAAATGCCTTGGCTCAACAAAGAAAATCAACGCAACAGTTGCATCAATGTTTATTGAGTTAAGACAACTTCTAATGAAATTGTCTCAAAGCAACAAAGTTATTTGAGTTAGGGGAGAAGGCTTTTCCTCTACAATCAGAGGTGTTTCTAATTACCACTAATAATTGGTATTATAAACACAAGTTTTGAAGTTGATTACTCAAAAGATTAAGTTGTTCCGACTAGTTTTACCACATGATTTAAAAGGAATTTTAAGTTGTATGTACTTAATTACTATCATTGTGAACACATGTTTTTAAGTTGACAACCATTTATAAATTAATTTGCTCCAAATATATTGTTTTCAATAGTTTTTTTCTTAGCTTTTTCATGTTTTTGCCTTTAAAGAAAGAAATTAATTGATTCCACAACAAAAATATTAGGCAATTCACTTTTTATTTTGAAATGCAGTTGTTTATTTCAACACATGATGTTTCAATCAGGAGAGAATTCATTTTGTTTGAACATTTATTGGCACATGCCATACAGTATGATAAGGTGCATGAACACCTGAAATCACAGCTGACTGCAGGAGAGAGGAGAACCATTTTATAGTTTGTTTGCAGCACGTTGATTGGCTGCTGGAGAATGAGGTGAAATGTAATAGGTTAAAGAGAACGCCTGTGATGAGCTGATTATATGCAGCTGCGGAGTGAATGTATATACACCCAGTCTTCCTGAAAGAACTTGCGCTGAGCTTCATTTAAATCTTGAAAAATGTAAATTGCACCACAAATAATAAATAAACACATTAGCCATATTACCATGGCAAATGGGGACACAGCTAATAAATGCTGCCATCACATCGAAGTTAGAGGCCTTTGCATATTTAAAACCAGTGCCAAATATGTAAAATCTGTAAAGTTTTTGTAAAACTACAGAAACAAACTCTCAATGGCCACCAATCTGCAGATCACACACATCCATTTTACAAAAGATGTATCAAAGATGTTTGCACTGCCGACAGTCATTATTTCAAACAGTATGAACACATTTAACGCAGAATGCTTGCTCATTCATTTGTTTCCCTCGACCACGATGGTTGCCATCGTATGGTCAGATCCTGGGGTGGACCGGTCACTGATGAAGGCGATATTCATGTCCTTTTGAAGCACATTCAATAATAGGTTAGCGCATAAGAGATAATGAATTAGGTAATTGCATTCTTTTTAAACTCTTAGCTAATTCAGAGCCATTATTACCAGCTGCTAAAGCAACGCTGGTATTGTTTTCACCTATTGAGTCTGCATGTGTGTGTCATCATGGCAATGTGGTCCTGAAGACACACAGAGGTGCTTTTGAGTACTTTGCCTAGTGTTTAAATGCATGTGGACAGATTTTGTCAATCCCAACCGTGCAAGTTTTAGTGTATCTTCTCATCTTTTTTGCAGGTTCCATACAATATGTGAACTGGTTAAGTGAAGAGCAGAAGCCACTTTTCAAATGTTACACAATCCTTTTCCCATGCCATTGCTGTCAACACCTATCCATGCTGAACGTTGCTAAGATATTATTGATTGGGGTGTGGCCAAAAGTGCAATATGCTTCAAAATGTAACTGACACTGTTTTTACACTGTGCCCGTGGATTTTATTTTATTTCAAGATTTTTTAATTACGTCGCTAAACTCCTTGAAAAGGTCCTCTTCCTTGTCTCCAAGGTACACGACAAGGCAGCGGATGGCTATAGTTCTTTGCATACTTCAATTACATTGTGCTATTTTTGAAAAAGGAAAAAAAGAGAAATTACCTAAATTAATATATTCTGAATGGGTGACTGCCAACAACTTGCATTTCAATGACAACTCTAAATAACGATCCTACCTCAAGAAGCATGTCCTTGATCTGCTTCACCGAGATTCATTTTTAACAAAAAGCGATATCACAATAGTAACCAAAGTATTTTTACACTCACATTAGCCTCTACTAGGGGGGGCGGTGGTGGCGAAGTCGATAGGGACTTGGCTTGGCAACTGGAAGGTCACCAGTTCAAGTCCCAGCAAGACCAAGTGCTACCGAGGTGTCCCTGAGCAAGGCACCGTTCCCTACACTGCTCCCTGGGTGCCGTTCAAAATGGCAGCACACTGCTCCTAACACTAGGAAGGGTCAAATGCAGAGAAACAATTTCCCCACGGGGATTAATAAAGTATATCAATATCAACTACTTTGTATCCTCTCACAGAACTATTCACAGTTCAAAGGCTGCTAATTTTGGTCAAACAGCAATTTGCCTATACAGTGCAACTACAAGGCTATCTACTGTATTTGAATGACAAATGGTGGTGGTGCAGCAAGCAGCAGCGACGTAGAAGTAGCTGCAGCAATAGCAGCAGTAAGCAATGCATGGAGAGATATCTGGCAGGTTAAATAGGGCGGCATATTAAGGAGACTCTGTTTGGTTGGTTGCAGAGTAGCAAGGGGCGTTATGTATGAATGCAGCATAAGTGCTCGAGTTGACTGCCTGAACTAGCTCGCAGGCTTCACCCCATTTATGAATACTAATTTGCTAGATATAGATTTCCCACATGAATGGCCTCTGATCTAGGAAGGCCAAGTGTGAAACTGGATGGAGGCAGTCCAGCCTGACTCTCGTGGAAACCTCTGCCGAGCTGCACATGATAATTAAGACCTCCCTCTTTATAGCAGTCAAAGTGTAAAGAGGATGGTGACGGTTTTAGAGCTCCAGGAGGAAACTAAATGAAGCAAGAAGTTTGAGGTTTAAACCGGTAATTTGGCTCCTTGTGTGTGTATTCAGATTATGTAGCATTTGTGTGTGAGATGGATAGATTAGGAGGGAGAGTGAGAGGGAGTGAGAGCTTTTTGGTTACTATTGCTATGGTAACAGTTGCTATGCTCCAGGGGAGAGAGTTTTTTTTACGAATGCCGAGTCGAGTCTTACTCTAACTAAAAATCCAGTCTGCAGACAATTTACCATTGATGCTGGCACACCAACTGCCTCTGTCTCTGCTGTCTCTCTCTATGTCTTTATGTCGAGAGGATGCAGACCAATATAGATCCTACAATTATAGATATAACACAAGTGAAGCTTGCAGAGAAGAATTACCCCGTCTCATTTACAGAGACTGTGAATCCATGAGAGGAAATCGTATTTTACCCCATGTACATTCCTTAACACTGAGGAAACATGCAAGGTTTAAAGAATGGTAGCTTTTTTGCTAATAAAGTATCCAAAATAATGGCAGTTATTTATTCTAATTTGTATCAAAGTTTTTTTACAAGCTGTTGTTGCAAGTCAAGCCAAGTCTGTTTAAATAGCACCTTTCAACACAAAGGTTGCTTCAGTATATTGCTTCAAGCAGGAATTCAGGCTGTTGTTACCCGTGCCTTTGCACCCCTGCTGCACAGACAGCCTCCATTCAATTATGAAAAACTATCTGCAGGTCTTCACACATCCTTTGGGTTCACCCTCTAGGGAATGGGATGTATTCAGTATAAAGTTCATGGAAATGTTGCTATTATTTTGATATTGCTTATGCACATGTAGAAAGCAAAGCGGAGGAAAGCGCCAACAAAAGTACCACAGTGATTCACAGTTTTACAATGGTTGTTTCATTCCTTTCCTTCAAGGCAGCTGCAGATTCCTATTTTCACACACAACCAGTTGTCAGTCTTTACAAATGAAATCTTGAAATTGTATCATAGTTAAGACACGTGTAAGCCAAAAAAGACCAAGGCCACACCCAGTGAGGAAAGAGATAACAATCAGGGAGAGTTGTGAGTTTTCCTTACTCCCTTTAGAGGTGAATTTCTTAAACATAGAAAACACAGGGCCCATTAAAGATTTGAGTGTTTCTCTTTAAACCCAGAATGCAGATCCCCGCCTTAAACATTAGCATTGTTCATGCCAGTGCAGGAACTGCAGCCAAACTGCTGCCAAGGATAACTGTTTGTAGCACAGCTGCACTGCTATTATAACGTTTATGTGTGCGTGTATGTGTGTGCATATGCATAAATCATGAAGCTCATCTGGAATCTTTGTATAGACTCCGTTTACCTAACAAGGTAGGAATGCAGGTGTGGTTAAGATTGAGCGAGGCCTATTGAGGTGAAAAAAACTTTTTTTTTTGGGCATGGCATGAACACTAGTTTCCACCAACACAGTCTCACAGCATTTCGTGTTATAGTCATGAAATTAATCTATTGATTCGTGTTCACCAACACGATTTCTCCATTTTTTTCGTGTCATACAGAACAATATTAAAAGCAATGTAAATAATAACAATAAGAAGGAAAAACAGATTAAAAAAAATACAGATGTCAGTATTCTGAGGCTCTGAGCCATTTCTTTTCCTCACGGACGGCAAAAAACTCCGACATTATACAATTTAAAATAAAAGGGTTAGGCTTAGGGAAAGATATTGAGTAAGACATTTTTTTTACGAACCACACAGCTTCTGGTCTTCCAAGACCCGACTGGACAAAAATATGTGGTGCAGATACGACACATATTACCAATAGAAATACATTACTTTTAAAATCGTTCCGTGTGACACGAAAAAAAGGGGGAAATCGTGTAAGGTGAACACGAATCAATAGATTAGATTAATTTCGTGACTATAACACGAAATGCCGTGAGACTGGGTTGTTTCCATATGCTTCATTGACATGTCTTCTTTTCCTTTCTCAGGGCCGCTGCCAACAGTGTCAAAAGGAACCCATGTAATTGTCCCTTTGGTGGAGGAGTTGGAGGGCAATCGTTGGGAGGCTTCTATTGTGAGTCAGGACGACAAAAGGATGAAGCTGTCTGTGAATTCTCTCCCCACGGCGCTCATTGGCCGATATCAAATAATAGTGGAGACGCATTGTGCAAATGGCCAGGCAGTTTCTACACATGACCCTGCTAATGACATCCTTATGCTGTTCAACCCCTGGTGTGAAGGTAAATATGGGATTACAAAAATAAAGCATCTAAGACACACATGGTATATGTTTGTCAGGTTAATATACTACAACGGGTATTAAAACTAGCAGAAAGACATTACAATACAGTCATATAACCATGAAGTAAAGGTATACAATGTTATTTAGTTTGTTTAAGAGGTGCTTATTGGTTGATTTTGTGAAATGCTGGTTTAGTTGTTTCCCAGTTTAAGTCTTTATACTAAGCTATGCTAATAGACTAGCCTAATACAGTTATGTGAAATATGTTGCCATAATACATTTAATTAAAGTCAACGGTTCAGTTTTTTCAGTGTATTTAACAGACAGACAGACCATAATCTTCTCATCTCACTATTCATATGAAAGCAAACACCTCTACGTTCCCAATATGTCTAACTATTCCTCTAAGAAAAAACCCAACCAAGAAGAACAAAAGGGTTTTTTATGCCATTTACTCTGAAATACATAATAGGACAATTTCAGCCTCAATAAATTCCCCTGTCGGGCTTTTGATCTTGACATGGCTACAACAGTGTTAATTTTTTAAGAAATGTCTACTCTCTGATTGTCTACACATTATCGTGAATACTACTGGACCTGTCTGCCAATAATTATTTTGTCCACTTTTATGACTACATGTTCTTGTTCTGTCAATGACTGCTGGCAAATGGCTAGACTAAAGAAAAGCCTCTCTTACAGTAGATCTGCACTCTCCTAAGTGCTTTTTGTTCTAGTTTAAATGTCTAAGTTACATTTAAAAATCATATACAATTGTGAGATGTATACACAAATCTAAAGTTATTGATACTTTGTACTTGTTCACTGTCAGATGACACAGTGTTCATGGATGCTGAAGACGAGAGGCAGGAATATGTCCTGAATGATATCGGAAAAATCTACTATGGCACCATGGATCAAATTGGAGTGCGGACCTGGGACTATGGACAGGTGAGGGGGTTGTTCGATCTTTAAGTGTTTTGTTAATAGACTAAGCAGTAGAAACCTAATTGCTCTCTTTTTCGCTTTCAGTTCCAAGATGGGATTCTTGCTGCTTGTATCTTTGTCCTGGAAAAGAGTGGAACTCCTCCGTCAGGGTGGGGAGACCCGATTAATGTGGTGCGAGTAGTCTCAGCCATGGTGAGACTGCGTTTACTCTTTTTAACTATTGAAAAGTTCTAACATAGTTTTCATACATCAACACAGGCTCACTATTTGGCAAGATGACTAAGCCTTATATTAGCTACTTAGTTAGAGAGAATCAACTCGGTGAACAACAGATACCAAGGATGCTGGCTGATGAAGAAGACGAAGTAAGCTAAGTAGCCAATATAAGACTTAGCAGTACAGATACATGTGGGCTCACTATTTGGCAAGCAACCGGTCACAGTTGCCCTGTTTATGTCATGTCTTATAAAAGCTTATTCGTGATTTATAAAGTGTTCACAACCTAATTAATAAATAAATTACAAACTATTCGTAAACCCTTTATAAGGGTAGTCTTATTGTAAAGTGATACTAAACAATCTGAAGTGTTACTGTGTTCATGTTCCTGCCAAATGGAAAACTTGGTTTAAAAAAATAACAACTCAATATTTCACTTATCCAGATCAACTCCCCAGATGACCTAGGTGTCGTGGAAGGAGACTGGTCCGGAAACTATTTGGCTGGGACTAGTCCAACAGTTTGGAGTGGAAGTGTGGAAATCCTGAAGGAATATCATAAAAACAATGGAAACCCTGTTAAGTATGGCCAATGCTGGGTCTTTGCTGGAGTATTCACCACAGGTGAGCGGACAGTTTTTCTTTTCCTATCACAATTTCATGAGACGTGTTTGTGTATGTGTGTAACAGACAGGGAGATTCAAACAGATATTGACGACTGGTGCTGTATATTTTCAGTCTTACGCTGTTTAGGCATTCCCGGTCGAACTGTGACCAACTTCAGCTCAGCTCATGACACAGACGTCTCCTTGACAACAGACGTATACCTGGACGAGAGCCTGGAGCCTATGGAGCTCCTCAATGCTGACTCTATCTGGTATGTCCTGTCACCATCACTGTGATGCTGCCTCATCTTGGCAGGTTTCACTCTGTAGTTTAAACCAGCACTTGGTAACCTTTTCTTAGAAGTAATTTGTTGTGATATTTGCTAAAACGATATCCTGACACTAGAGCAAGTGACAAATAATATGTGAACAAAAACGTCATTCCCCCTTCCACAATGTTACTAAAAATGTTTATGGTAATTGTAAGATTTCACTGTGTCAAATTAAATCAACAAACAGGACCAATGAGTCTGTTTCTCAATGTTGTGAACTCCGATCTAAATGGCAAACTGCTGATCCAATATCAAAACAAGGTTTCTATATAGTTTATTTCTTACTTGTTAAATGTTGCCACAGTGTACTGTGAAGCTGTAAATGAAAGTTTGTACCCCACATGTTGAAAACAGTCAAGTGAAAACTAGGCACCGCCAACGGGCTGTAACCAAAATGTCTTATTTTACCTGATTATTTCTAAGATCTGTCTCATGAACTCAGTGCCAGTTCCAACAAATACGACAAAAGTTATTTTTATTAAATTAGCCAAATGTAGATTTATGAAGCCTGACCTTTAAGTATTTTTATGAAGGAACTTCCATGTGTGGAACGATGCCTGGATGGCGCGTCCAGACTTGCCTGCAGGCAACGGAGGCTGGCAAGCTGTGGACGCCACGCCTCAGGAGACGAGTCAGGGCACCTTCCGCTGCGGCCCGGCGTCTCTCACTGCAGTACGCAATGGACAGGTCTTCCTGAAACATGACATCCCATTTGTGTTCGCTGAGGTTTGTGGAATATATCTTTTACTTTGGGAGCAGTGTGTAGGATTAAGGGGGATTTATTAATAGATGGGAAATATTATATTCCTGATTATGTGTTCATTAGTGTTAATTCACCTGGAACTAAGAATAGGTGTGTTTTTCATTGGTTTACCTCTAGATAGTAGATCCCTTTTCCAGAGTCTGTCATGTTGCAGCACCATGTTTAGTTACCCAGAATGGACGAACCAAACACTGACCTCAGAGAGGGCTTTTCGTGTTTTACGTTACCTGAAGGCCATCGTAGGTTCACCGACCCATTTAAAGGGGTATTTACAATCTGCAACCTCAGAGCTGGTTACAATCTGCAACCTCAGAGTTAGATGCCACTCATTTCTAGAGGAGCACCCTAGATATTCTGTCTGCACTTCCATAAAGTTCAGTTTTCCCTAGCATACTTAACCTACATGAGTGCTGTAGGTTAAACATCTGATATTTCCGTTGTTGTTTCATGTTGACAGATTATCAGTGTTGGGTGTAACGCGTTACAAAAGTAACAGAGGTTACAGTAATGTATTACTTTTGCTTGTAACGAAGTAATGTAATGCATTACTTAATGAAATGTAGGTAATATACTACCGTTACAATTCTCAGTAACGCAGTTACAACCCATTTTAACCCGCAATTAAATGGGGGACGGGGGTCTCCCGCAACATCTTGCAAGAAACAGCGTCTGAGGGCTGATGTGTCATACCCACTTAACGGGAAGAAACTCAGCTACCTGACAATATGAAACATTTTTTTACCAAACAAAACACAAGTCTAACATCGAGCCTCTGAATTAGCACTAAACAAAAGAATGCTAACGCACTTAGCACATAACTCACGTTAGCGATCTTGTATACTTCATCGGATCTGCACAAACAAGATATCATCTGAAAGCTGAGATTCCACAGATTCCAATGGTATAAGTATCATCACTGAGCGACCAAAACTCGCGGAAGCGAAAGCCAGCAAACACAACACACAATTCCACTTTACGTAGCCAAAACGGCAAATAACTCTTACCTTTGCTGTTTTCTGATCAAAAGTTGTGTTCAATGGCAATAAACGGACGGACACTATAATTTACATCTTTTTACTATGTTCAATCTGAATTTACTTTAAAATAAAAAATATCTATATTGATTCTGACTTTTCTACATCCAACTCACAGGTTTAACCTTGCTTTGAGAAAAAAGATTATTAATTTACCCCTTTTAGAAGTGAAGATATAGTCATTTATTCTGGGAATGTCATTTTCGAGCCTGAGACCTGAAAAACAGGCTCAGGGCTTTTAACCTATTTTCCTTTCTCTTTCTTGATCCTCCTTAGCAACCTTCATTATAGTCCTTGACAGTGGCATGTACTACTGTATTAACAACGTGTCACATGTTAAGAATTTACAATCAGAATCGAGTATTCAACTAAGCTGTGTAAACAAAATTGTTAGTAGCCTTAATGGCCTGCAGTTGTTATGCTATACCACATTGCCCTTCACTGGATGTATAATGAGCTGCACTAAACTACATTTTAGCATTTAAAATACCTAGCCATTCTTTTGCGGTTATTTTGGTAAAGTAACTCAAAAGTAATATAAAAGTAGTGTAACTCATTACAATTCAGAGACAGTAATATTGTAATGTAACTTATTACTTAAAAAAGACAGTAAGGCAAGGCAAGTTTATTTATATAGCACTTTTCAACACAAGGCAATTCAAAGTGCTTTACAAAAAATGAAAGAGATTAAGAAAATGGCATTTAAAATCAGTCATTAAAAAGAAAAGCTAATAAAATAAACATTAAAAGAAAAAAATACATGGCATTCAATTAAACATTAAAAGAAAAAAGTACATGGATAAAGTTACAGTGCAGTCTAAGATATGAATAGTTCATTAAAAGCAGCGACAAAAAGAAAAGAAGTCTTCAGCCTGGATTTAAAAGTAGTCAGAGTTGTAGCGGACCTGCAGGTTTCTGGGAGTTTGTTCCAGATATTTGGAGCATAATAACTGAACGCTGCTTTACCATGTTTAGTTCTGACTCTGGGGACAGAAAGCTGACCAGTCCCTGAAGACCTGAGAGATCTGGATGGTTCATAATTTAGCAGGAGGTCAGAAATGTATTTTGGGCCTAAACCATTCAGTGCTTTATAAACCAGCAGCAGTATTTTGAAAATCTATTCTTTGACACAGCAGGAAGCCAGTGTAAAGACTTCAGAACTGGAGTGATGTGATCCACTTTCTTAGTGTTAGTGAGGACTCGAGCAGCGGCGTTCTGAATTAGCTGCAGCTTTCTAATAGATTTTTTAGTGAGACCTGTGAAGACACCATTGCAGTAGTCGAGTCTACTGAAGATAAAAGCATGGACAAGTTTTTTCCAAATCCTGCTGTGACATTAGTCTTTTAATCCTAGATATATTCTTTTAGGTGATAGTAGGCTGATTTAGTAACAGTTTTAATGTGACTGTTGAAACTCAGGTCAGAGTCCATGACTACACCTAGATTTCTGGCTTTATCTGTTGTTTTGAACATTGCAGGCTGAAGCTCAGTGCTAACTTTTATACGTTCTGACTTGGCTCCAAAAACCATTACCTCAGTTTTATCTTTGTTTAATTGGAGAAAGTTCTGACACATCCAGTCATTGATTTGTTCAATGCACTTACTCAGTGTTTGAATTGGAGCATAGTCTCCTGGTGAAATTGTCACGTAAATTTGTGTGTCATCTGCATAGCTATGGTAACTTTTTTGTTGTTCTTCATTATCTTGAGCCAGTGGTAGCATGTAGATGTTAAAGAGAAGAGGCCCCAAGATGGAGCCTTGAGGAACCCCACATGTCATATTTGTCAACTCAGATGTGTATTTACCTATAGAAACAAAGTTGTTTCTGTCCTTTAAGTAGGATTCAAACCAATTCAGAACTGTTTCCGAAGTCCCACCCAGTTTTCCAGTCGGTCTAGTAATATGCTGTGGTCAACAGTGTCAAACGCAGCACTGAGATCTAATAATACTAACACTGAAGTTCTGCCACTGTCTGTGTTTAAGTGGATGTCATTAAAGACCTTTACAAGAGCAGTCTCATTGCTGTGGTTTGGACGAAAGCCTGACTGGAACACAATCGAAAACAGTTATTTAAATGCAAGAAATTACTCAAACTGTTGAAAAACAACTTTTCAATGATTTTAACCTAGAAATGGCAGGTTTGATATGGGCCTGTAATTGTTTCATTACTGAAGCAATCTAGATTATTCTTTTTTAAGAGCGGTTTTAATGACTGCAGTTTTCAGGGCCTGTGGAAAAATACCTGAGTGAATAGATTTGTTTACTATATGAAGTAGATCTGAGGCCATGCAAGGCAAAACATCTTTGAAAAAATCCTGTTGGAATAATATCAAGCAGCAAGAGGAGGATTTCAGAAGTTGAATAATGTCCTCTAGGTTTTTATCATTAATCTGATGGAATTGTGTCATGATGTTTGAATTGATGTTAAGTGGAGATAGGGACAACACATTTGCTGTTCCTGATGCAGAGGCACTGACTGCTTGTCTGATTTTCTGAATTTTGTCAGTGAAAAAGGAGGCAAAGTCATTGCACGCCCTGGTGGATAGAAATTCAGAGGCTACTGACACTGGGGGGTTAGTTAGTCTGTCGACGGTAGCAAACAAGGCACGTGCGTTGTTTTGTTTTTGGTATGATGTCAGAGAAGAACGATTGTCGTGCGTTTTTCAATTCCAAATTATAAAGGCCAAGTCTCTCTTTATAGATTTCAAAGTGAACCTGGAGATTTGTTTTTTGCCACCTGCGTTCAGCTTTTCGACATTCTCTTTTTTCTGTTTTCACGGTCATGGCCTTTCTCCATGGAGATATTTTCTTGACAGACACTTCCTTTAACCTAGTTGGAGCAATGGCATCTATAAACATTTTTAATTTTGAATTAAAATGATCTACTAGCTCATTTACTGAGATGTTTGGCAGGGGCAAGTGTGGAAGAGAAATTCTGAGTAAACATTTCCCTAGTATTTTCAGTTAAATATCGCTTTGTGGTTACCCTCTTTTTGAACATTTTTTGAACAGAAATAGAGCTCTCAAAGAAAACACAGGAATGGTCAGAGAGTGCAACATCAGTCACCACAACCTTAGAGATATTCACACCCTTTGAGATAATTAAGTCCAGAGTGTGCCCCTTATTGTGCGTGGGCTCCGTCACATGCTGAGTCAGTCCATAGCTATCAAGAACACAAAAACAGTTCTTTAGCCCCTCTTTCCTGGGGGTTGGTCAACATGGATGTTAAATCACCAACAATGACTAACGGTCAAAGTCAATACACACTATAGACAGCAGTTCAGTAAAGTCATCAAAAAAGCTTGCACAGTATTTGGGTGGTCTATAGATATTTAGGAACAGAGCTCGAGAGGAGCATTTCACAGCCGAAGGGCCACATATTCAAAAGAATCAAAGTTTCCATATGCTGTCTTCCTGCATTGAAGGGAATCATTGAACAGAATAGCAACTCCACCCCTTTCTTATGCATTATTTCCTGACTCATAAAACTAAAGTTGGGAGGGGTTGATTCGATAAGAACAGCTGCACTGTTATTTTGTTCAATCCAAGTTTCTGTTAAAAAACATAAAATCGAGATTGTGCTCAGTGATAAAATCATTGATTAAAAATGTTTTTCCTGCCAAAGACCTGACATTTAATAAAGCTAGTTTAAGTTTGTTAAACACACTATCAGTCATGTTTTTTTGTAACAAGCTGTGGCTGACATGGAATCACTGCTAAATTAGATACACTCACACAAAAACGTTTGAGCGCTTCCTGTTTTCTATGATTCACCGCTCTTAATCTATTACCTATCAACACAGATATCGGCAAAGCTACTGGCAGGCAGGGCCCCCGACATGTCCTGAAAGAGTTGAGAGTGCCATACGCCCTTGAGCTGGACCCATCACATATCAGTAAGAGTTTTGTTGTGTTTTGTACACACACATCCTTATCAGGCTTCGGAGACTGCAGATGCCCCCTCGAAGGGAGGGGAGGGTGGTCGACGTAGGCACGGTGATGGGAGACGGGCGAGATGGTGCGGGGGGTAGAGGACAATGCTGCCAGGGGGGGGAGGTGGTTGATGTAGGCACGGTGAGTGAGGATGGGGGAGATGGTGCGCGTCTCCGCGGTGATTTGGTGGGCGTCGTTGAGAGAGCGGGGGTAAAGGACATGGTGCCAGCCCTGCGTATCGCCTTCGTTTGGTCTTTGAACTCCAGGAACGAATCGGTGCCAACCCTCTGTATCTCCTTTGTGTGTTCATTCGATCTCCAGGAGGGGTGGGCGAGGGTGAAAGGGTGAACGGAGTATCCTCAAACGGCGTTGACAGGGGGGGGGGGGGGGGTGACGGGCAGTGGAGACTCCTCATTTGTCTCATAGGTCTCCCATAATCAGAACATTCCTCAGGCGGGTGCAGTGATAATTCTTCAGGGTTTTCTGCGTGATGTGTTGTGTCTTTCTCCTGTTTTGATTCCTCTTGCCGCTTGTCCTTGGCAGAGGGAACATTGATGACGCAGGCAGTTGAATATGTTAGAGATAAACAATTTCACTCCTGACTTGTTCAGGCAAACTCCATTTGCCTTGAAAAGATGTCTGCGATCCCAGAAAAAGTTAAAATTGTCAATAAAATGAAACAGAATGGTCAGTACAGGCGTTGAAAGCCAGGTGTTCAGTGCAAACAATCTGCTGAATCTCTACACTCCCTCTTCTGACTGGCGGTAGAGGGCCACTGATGAACACCTCTGCATTTAGAGAGCTGGCAGTTTCCAACAAACATTTAAGTCTTCTTTCAGCACTTCTGACTGTTGTTTCACAACATCATTTGTTCCAATGTGCAGTACCACATTCTTCACAGTCGATGTTCAGCCCCAATATGCAGGATCTTCTCAGCCAGTCAGGAGACCACAGTCCTTGGGAAAAACAGAGTACTTTGGTGTTGTAGTAATAAGTCATATGTACTTTATTACATTTTGGAAGTTACTTGCCCAACACTGCAGATTATGCATGTACTGTGTAGCTATCATAAGCCATATGGCATACATCAAAACGCTGCATGACGTTTCCCATCTGTTCAAGGCTTTATTTTGTCTCTCTCTCTTCCTCATGCTCTGTCTGCTTTCAGGTGAATAGCGATAAAATCTACTGGCAGAAGAAAGATGGGACCTTCAGTCAAATATACAGTGAGAAAAAGGTTGTGG